GTAAGTTAATAGATTATATTAACCAACATAATTATACAGTATAGTATAATAGCATCAACTAACATTAGTATACAAAATTATTATATTAAACTACTGATTTATATTAAATGATATAGTAAATTAACAAATTATGTTGACTATCACGATTATACAAAATTGTTAAATATGATATTTAATATAAAACTATGAAATTTTATTAAACATTATATATATTAGCATTAAACAATACTTTCAAAACTTCCTGATGTTCTATCACAGCCATGGAACCTAATCACAACATGAGGTCCTTGTGCTGTGTAATACAATATCAATAGTACACTCATCTCTAACTCCCTTTAAGCAACTCAAGTGCCTTGTTAATATATTAAATAAAATACAGAATTACTGTTATTACAGAATTAATGCTTAATTAATATAAGGGGAAATCAATAGAAAGGAAAAAGTTTTTCTAAGTTTTTTAACTTTAAGTTAATATATTAATTAGCTAAAGGTTATTAAGGCATTATCAATTAAATTTTTATTAAGAGGTTCTAAACTAACAGATGCTGTTATACAACCTATAGTATTTTCCTTTTTTGGATCGGTCGGATCTCTTGGATTCGCAACTTTAACTTGAATAAAGTATTTGTTTGGTAAATCAACTGGTGTCTCAAATGTGGGATTTGCGTTAAATGAACTTCCAGCTTCAGTTTGAGGTGCAGTAGAATTCTTTATATCCAAATAATGGCCTTTATCAAAATACAAAATATAAATCTGCTCTTTATCTGTAATAGCATTATTTAGAGTTCCGGAAACTTTGAAAGTAACATTTTGTCCAGGAATCACTGGATCAGGAGAAACGCTTGCACTGATTGCATCTATAGGGTTTCCTACATTATCACGACACCTAATAGTAAAATCGGAATAGAAATGGTAATGGAAAGTGCAAAAAATAAATATAAAAATAAAATTTCTATTCATTATTTGTTTTTATAAGTAATATGATATTTAGGATATTTAGTTGAGGTATTTAATTTTTTAATTAGTGAAAATTGGCTTCAGTCATTACCTTTTTTAATTAGTGAAAATTGGCTTCAGTCATTACCTTTTTATAAGAATTTTCATTTGAAAATTTTTATGCATACTATACTACATACAGTCTCTATTGCGTCTTATAATTTATATATTTAATACATAATATATTAATATTATTTCCATTTAAATATATCATATATTAATACTTGAAATGAATGTTAAAAAGTTTACTTATACGGTCTGAATTTAAATCTGGCTTGGTGAATTTCGTTTCTAAATATAGTGTTCCGCAAATAAATTCGATATTCGGATTGATGCATTTCGAATCTATAATTTGCAGATCTTGCGGATCCGATTAGATCCATTATTAATATCGAAATGCACAAATACCAAAACTTTGACTTCTTGTGATTTTTTTTATTTTTTTGGATCTTTTTTTTCTTTTTGAAAAGTATATAAAATATTACCATTCAAATACATTGAACTAATAATGCCAAAAATCGAACTTCATTTAATGATTTTAGCATAAATGAATGTGCAGCATATATTAATAGGATTGTGCGTGGATTAAGAAGATTCAAGTGCGAATTTAGATTCTTGTGGACGGTATATCGTTTATTTCTTATCGTTATTGAAATGAGGTTGTGATTAATATGTAATGTTAAGTTCCAAATTAAGCAGTTAATTAAAATAACTTATATAGGCTAGCATGAATGTCCCGAATTAACACGTAATCTTAATGTAGAACTTAATTTATTGTTGCACTTTCTCTATAATTATAAGTGCACATAAACTGATTGGCCTAATGTAATTATTTAATATTATATGTAGATTATTCTCCATAAATGAATACTCTTTCTTATCGCGAGTCCACCGACAGGTTCATTTTACCGACAGTCTATTTCACCGAAGCTCATTTCACCGACAAGTTTATTTTTATAAATTACACCAACTTTAACTCTAATTCTAACCTAGCCCTAATGATATTGACCAGAATTGCTTGTCTGTAAAACGAGCTTCGGCGAAATAAACTGTCGATGAAATGAACTTGTCGGTAAGTAATTGTCAGTGAGTTGATCGGATCCTGTTATGGTTATATATCTTTTAATACCGTCAATTGTATAAAATGTCGTACAAAAATTATAGCGCGAATTTAACATTTTTAAAAGTAGAAATTTCGTTAACCCATGTCTTTTGGTATTGAATATTGAAGATTCTCGATAAAGGTACAGCTTTGAGCTTAAAACTTTTGAGTAATAGACCCGATTCTGAAGAAGGGAAAGCACTAGTAGAAGACCTATGTAAAGTCACTACTTTGACTATCTTGAGTGTCATAAATGATAATTTCGATATCGAAAGTAGAAGACGAAAGCATTTTTATAAACATATTACTTACGAGGTAACAACCTTAGGCTCGAAGGAGCAAAGTTCTATATACTGTAAAAAACAATAGCTTGAATATTTGAATCTTAATAACGATTATTTTGATTCTGAAGGAGGAGCAAAAGTATCTTATTAAGATTAAAATTAGATCTTTAACTTGGGTTCTGAAAAGTGAAAATTATTCGCGAGAGTCCTTCGCAAAAATAATACTCTGATGCCCTTAGACATTTGCTACTATCAACTTGAAAACGAGAAAAAGGAGGTGTTTAAAAAGCCCTTTACATAAATACCACAATGGTTTTTCTATGGTGCCGGAAGCTTATACCCGATAATCACGTGAAATGTTGCAATTTTCGCAGACCCTCGATCTTGATTGGCTAATAGCCAAGGATCTTCAAAGTTTGGCCCGCATTACATAATTGTTTACTAATTTCCGGCCGGAATTACCTTCTTAATTTTTCATTACAAAAAAAAAATAAGCCCCGCATTATGTTAATAAAATTGGCCCATGAACAATTTTAAAACTCCGAATAATTCCGGCCTAATTTTTGACTAATCACGGAGATTCTCGATTTTGATTGGCTAAGAATGACGATCAAAAAATTAGGCCGGAGTTATTCGGAATTTTATTAACCGCCTATTAAGTGAAATTTGTAATGCTGGAAATTAAAAAGTTAATTCCGGCCGGAAATTAGTAATGCGGGCCAAAATTTTGAAGATCCTCGGCCGTTAGCCAATATATATAGCTTGTTAGATGTGTATAATAAACTTCGGTATACATTATGTAGAGTAAATATACCGAGTAGTGGTGCGATCCGAAATCCGTTACTCTGGATATCTGCTTCAGAATCCGATCTTATGTAGATAACAGATAATCCGTTTGAGAAATAATCTGCATCCGGATTATCTGACGAATATCTGTCATCTGGAGTTTATTATGAGGTCATCCTTAATTTATAAATCAATTTATAATCAACTTACGGTAGATCCCTTATATGTTTAACAATTAACGAAATTACTAAAAAAAGAAAAAACCAAACGACTATTAACCTTACTGCTGCTGGTCCTCAAGATGATGATCCTGTTGGGACAATTTTTCAAGTTGACTTGTCAAGTAGAAGTAGCTGGGTTTGGAAGTTTTTTCGTCTAGAACTTTGTAAAGAAGAAGGTGGATGGTGGGGGAAATATGCTATTTGTGAAATTGAAATATTAGAAGGACGAACATATTGAACTGAATCTTCAACTGGCAACCTTATTGTGCACTTATTAGCAGATCATGAAGTTACGAAAGATAATCCACATCCAAAAGAGGTTAGTGTTTATTTATAAAAATTAACAATTTAAAAATTTATTTAAATAATAGCCATCACATTCAACTTCTGTTCAGCCACATAGTGAAAAAAGACAACGAGAATTACAAAATATGCTTGTTGATTGGCCTATTTCTGATTCTCGACCACTAATTATTGTTTGGCATCCTTTATTTCGACGTTTTATAAATGAATTAGATCCAGCTTTCATTATTCCTGATGTTAAGCTAGTTAAACAAATTATTCATCATGCTTATAATTACTGTGTACCACTATTATGTGATTATCTTGACAAAAATGCTATTAGAGTTTCTTTGACAATGGATCTTTGGACAGGTAAAAGTCATCGAGAATTTCTTGGAGTTACTTGCTCTTACATAGATCAACAATTTCATTTAAATGAAGTAACTCTGGCAATACAATATGTGTGCTATCCTCATACTGCAAATAATATTTGTAAAATTACTGAAAATATAATTAAATATTGAAAATTAACAGGCAAAGTACATTCAATTACTACAGATAATGCTTTAAATATGAAAAAATCTGTTGCAAAAGTGAATGGAGTTTTATGGCAAGGATGTAGTGCGCATAAATTACAATTAGTGATTGGAAAGGCTTTATTACCTGTAAAAGCATTAATAATTCATGCAAAACGTCTAATTGACTTTTTTTACATCCAAAGCAATCAGAACATTTAGAAGAAATATAAATAAGAACTCCTAAAAAAGCAAATGTGGTAAGTTTTAAATAATTTTTTTTTATTTATATAATAATTATAATAATTAATTTTTAATACTTAAAAGACACTAAAGAAACAACAGATTATTTAATTAGTTGTATAGCTGACTGTAGCACATGTCGGAATAGCTCTTATTTAGCATGGACTCGTTTAATACAAATCAAATCTTATATTGAACTTCTTATTGTTCATCTTACGACTCATGAAAATTCCGATGAATGTAAAGATGAAAAGCTATTACGTGAAATCAATTTAACACAACAAGAGTGGATTTTGCTAAAAGATCTTTTACAAGTCCTTGGTCCATTTGCAGAAGCTACTCAATATTTGGGTGGCTCATATTATTCTACACATAATCTTATGCATTGCGTTATTGAAAAATTAAAAGAAATTTTTAAGCCAACGATCATCATTACAAATGAATTAGATCTTGAAGATGAAACGGATGCATTTGATGATGATGTTGAACAAGATGTTGATAATGCTATTAACACTATAAATTTATTGAATGAGGTAAAGAGAAAATGTATACAATACTCTGTCATTATTATCCTGATCCGGCACCTCAAGAATTAATATCTGCCTTATTGGATCCTCGGCTTAAGTCTTTGGATTTTGTTAGTACTATGAATAAATTAGCTACTGAATGTGCTCTTATGAACTTGTATAATAAAGAAAAATTATTAGAAAATGAACAAATCTCAAGGTATTTAATAATAATAATAATAATAATAATAATAATAATAATTTTTTTTTACTAAATTTTAACTACAATAAATATAAAGCGGATGTGAAGACCAAAATTATTTGATAGATAATGATCAAACCGACGATTACATGATTGGCAATGATTTATTATATACGCCTTGTTTAATGAAGTCTTTGGAAAAGGATGATGAGCAAGTAGTGAACGAAATTGAAGAATATCTTAAAATATCAGAAATTAGTCTACGCAAAGATCCTTTAATGTGGTGGGATTTGAATTCAAAAAAATTTCCGATTTTATCAAAATTGGCAAGGATATATTTGGCAATCCCGGCGACTTCAACTCCCAGTGAATGCTTGTTTAGCGATGCTGGTAACTTATTAACATTAAAAAGAACTCGAATTACACCTGAGCTATTCAAAAGGATGATGTTTTTAAAAAGAAACATTGATAAATATCAAAACATTCATCCTCCCGAATAGCCGATTTTTATATCTAATATAAAATTTGCGAATTTGTTTCGTAATAATATATATATTACGAATTTGCCTTGTATTGTAATAAATAGATATATTGCAAATTTGCTTTTAATAAATAAAATATCAAAATATTGATTTGCTTTTTTTAATAGTAATAAATAAAGATAAATTTTGGTGCAAATCGATACATATTGTTTATCAGATAAAACAGATATCCGTAAACGGATAACGGATGCAGTATCCTATCTGCTCTCGGATAAAGGATATCTTTTGGGAGTCAAATCCGGGTCAGATAGGATTCGGATATTCGGATCGCACCACTAATACCGAGGGTATAACTTTTACGGTTTAAAATATACGGTATGTATATTTTTTTATGCATTTATTTAGCTTGAATCATATTTATAACTGCTGTTGAGATCGATTTTTGTGGATTATGACTCCACCTATTCCTGTATTCAGTGAATTTAAAATTAATCATTATCAATCAACAAAAATATTATACAGTATAAAAAAAAAAAAGTGTTTGAAATTCTTATTCGTCAAATCTCTATATACTGTAAATTTTTTAAAACGACTGAGTTGCAAGAACATCCATCTTGTCTCATAATGCATTTGAAAGAAATCTTAATGGACGTTATAAATCTCTTATTATACAAGAATATTATGATTTTCGTATTAAAGTTCTTCAATATTCATTAAATACAACTATCGAACCCGCTAAAGATTATTATTAATTAATATATCGGTACTTATCAAATTTACTCACAAAATTTGCCAATTTAGATTTCTGTCAATTTATGCAATTTATACTAATTTGAATCGATTCTATTCATGTATAATTTTTTTTATTACTGCGTCTTTAAATACTCATCGAAAATTTCTTCAAATTCCCTATTTTTATAAATTGTCTCCACAATATTCCAAAGATTCTCTTTGAAAACCAATTTTCTAGTATCATATCTATTATTATATTAGATCTTTGTTTTATTAACCAAACAATGAAAATACCTAACTTTTTTTAACAGTATACTCAAATTTGAACGAAGCCATTTTTGAATTCTGTAAATCAATAGGATTCGAAAACAGCCTTAAACATTTAAATTAACCAATTCGTCATTAAGATATCTTTATTAAAAGCTCGAAAAAAAAAAAGAAATAATGTTAGAATAAAAATTAATTATTCCTGATTCTCGTGTAGTGTGTTAGTAACTCGTATTAATTAATTTTTTACTTTACATTATACTAGGTGTATAATTTTTTTAACAAAATTATACGAAATGCATAATATATTTTAAAATTTTATACTTAATGTATAAGTTTTCAATAAATAATATACATTCCGTATACTATACTCCTTCGACCGACTATACTATACATGTTATCGTAATTTCTATCAACATCGAGGATCTGCCGTGACAATTTTGCAGCTATGGTTATTAATTACAAAATACATTAATTTTATTAGTTAATTGCAAATTGAACCGTTTCACGTGATTGTCGGTTGTAAGCTTCCGGCACCATACCATAATCATATGAATGTCCTCTATAAGTGTAACAACCTCAGTTTTAACTGACCTGTCTGCCTAATACAGTACTTAACATTATCGTTGAAACTCATTGAATTGATAGTGTTTATTTATTATTTCAATTCGAAATTAGGAACATAAAATTTTTAAAGTTGGTTATTGTTATCTTTATAGGATCAGAATTTATACACTAAAAGAACCAGCCGGATGGTTATCGTAAAAAATTCGCAGAGAAGGGGATGAGATATTGTTGAAAATGTTATCACGTTGGAATGGGGACAGGAAAAGATAAGAAAATATAGTATATATATCTCTAAGATCAGAGATAAGGAACGCTAGTGGAAATGATAAATATAAGGATTCATTATAAAAAACTTGCTGATACGTGTTAATGTAATTTGCATAAAACATTATCCATTAAAATAAATAGTAAAAAATTTGCTCTAAAAAAAAAATATATATATCCATCAAATTTAATTAAGTTTTGAAAAGGCAGATATTGGATCAGCCCGAAACTGCGATCTGTACATGCAAAAATAGCATACAGGGGATTGGGTAGATTGTATCTGGTCTTCCAATCAATAAATAGGGTTTGGGTAGTTTGAGTAACCATTATCTCGGATTAATTTCGTCCCAGAACCATTACAATGCAGACTTCTAAAAAATAAGAAATGGCATCACATAATACTAGGGTGATAAACGGACTAATTAATCAAACATATGTCAGTAAACTATAAAATTTAATATATTGCAGATTTTTCAAGT